CCCTCGGAGGCCCCGAGTCAGGAGTTGCTACCGCTGGCGCGGCTCTGCGTGGCTCCAGTCCCGCGTTGCCTCAGGAAGGGAAAGGCAAAAAGGAAGAGCCGTGGTGGCGCTTTGGAACGGCAGCAGCGGCTCCTGGTTTTGCCTTTCCCTTCCCGAGGCAACGCGGGACTGGAGCCGCGCGGAGCCGCGCCGGCGGTAGCAACTCCTGACAGCCCCAGCCGGATATCTGAGCGGAGCCTGGGTGGGCGGGCGGTGCGAGCGGAGCCCGGGTGGGCGGTGCGAGCAGAGCCCGGGCGGTGCGAGCGGAGGCCACTGAGCGGCAGGAAAAGGGAGCTGGGCAGCGATTTCTTGGCACGTGGTGGTGGGGTCTCTTTTGGCCGGCCCTGATTTTTTTTTCAGAGGGGAATATCATGCCTGTAGTGATTAATAGTACTGTACACCTGAGTTTTTAAACCTGTATGTACAGAATATAGAATAACAGAGTTGGAAGGAATCTTGAGGTCTTCTAGTCCAATCCCCTGCTCAAGCAGGAAACCCTATGTCAGGGGTGTCCAACCTTGGCAACTTTAAGACTTGTGGACTTCAACTCCCAGAATTCCTCAGCCAGCAAAGCTTATTTATCTACATTTTATGTTATATGTACACATAGTCCTCAGCTTTTAACCATTCATTTAGTGACTGGTCAAAATTACAAAGGAACTGAAAAAAAGGGACTTACGACAGTTTTTCATTCTTATGACCATTAAAGCATTCCCTTGGTTGCTTGATCAAAATTACATTATAATGGTTGCAGTGTCCTGTGGTCATGTTAACCCTAATCTATTGCGGCCTTCTGACAAGCAAAGTCAACGGGGAAGCCAAATTTCCTTAACAACCATGTTACTGACTTAACAACGGCAGTGTTTCACTTAACAATTGTGGCAAGAAAGGTCATAAAATGGGCAAGATTCCACTTAACAGTTGTCTTGCTTAGCAATGGAAATTTTGGATTGAATTGTGGCCTAAGTCGAGGGCTATTTGTACTCTCAAATGATTTATGAAAATATATACAATAACAGTTAACTTTAAAAAGAATCTGTTGACAGTGACGAACAGTATGACAGATTATCTTGACACAATTATCCTCCAGTGTCCCAAATTAGATATTCCCATTTCATGGGGGTGGAGGGTACTTGACTATAATCTATGCTAAAGAGGATGGGGGAAAGGAGGGAATTATTCTCTTCTCTATTTGATCAACTTTGATCCTCACTAAATGGTTGCATTTTCTTCACGTTATAATTTCTTCCAGTTAAAAACAGACAGGATCCAATCTGGGTCAGTCACCGGGGCCAGAGGTTTAGTCTTCCCAGCTTTCGGACTTGTGCTGAAGCCCATCTTCAGGGAACTTCTCTCTCACCAGATGGTGGACACATTCTGGTGAGAGAGAAGTTCCCTAAAGATGGGCTCCAGCACAAGTCTAAAAGGTTGGAAGACCAAACCTCTGGTCCCAGTGACCAACCCAGACTGGATCCTGCAACATTATCCTGGGATACGTATATTTGCCTTCATTTGTAAAGACAGGTACATAGGTCCTAATTTCAGCCCAGGAAACATTTCCATGACAGAAGGGATGAGCTGCGCACAACTGGATTTGTC